TGGTCCATTATACAAATTTCACGCCGGCGACAATTTTAATCCATTCAAAAATTTTTAGAAATTTCTTTCATACACCAAAAGAGAGATTAACCGTTCAATTTTATTCACACGCATTGAGCTCTTCTTTCAATAAAGATAAGCAGAAATTCTTCTTTTAAACGATCAAATTAAGTTGGATTACTTTCTCGAGAGGGATTAGCGAATCCCTCCATTAGTCGTAGAAATGAAACTTCGCGTTTAGGTATTAAAGAGGCGTTAAAAGAGCGCCTTTTGAGAGACGTCGTTCATAGAATAACTCGAGTAACAGGTACTTTTCTTTAATGTCCCTTTCACACGGTCTGACCATGGGCATTATCTACTTTAACAGGCCGTAAAACACGTCCTCTGCTACGCAAGGTCCTCCTTCGGAATCGAGCCACTTCCAACTGCTCCCCTTTAGCGAGGAAAAAAAGAGAGATCGACACTGTTCCGGAGGTTTGAAGGATTCTTGGCGTCTAATGGGATTACCTGACTATTTGGCAACCGCAACTGTATTACTTAAGCTGATTTTTTTTCAAACCTGTTGATTCTATCCTTAAAAGAGAGCGATCCAAGAGACATTTATGTAAGCGTTACGTGGTTACATTTGGAAACTTGGGCAAATTACATTTCACGGGCGAAAAAGCGTTGTTACATATCATTTTCGGTCCGTAATTTACAATAGTTGTCGGTACTTCTTACGATTGAAATTGTAAGAATTTTTAAAAATGATTTGACGATGCAGATAGAGAATTTTGGTCATTTGTAGTACCATTTCAGAGTTAGAATTGTTTTTGCATTCGTTAATGTATCGTGAATTCAGGAACTCGTTAGAGATTCAGAATTTCAACCTTAATTTACTATAGTCATCTCGATTTTCTACGGTTGGAATTCCAAAAATTGAGAAAACATTATTTTACAGATATGCACAGACACAGATTTTTGGCCGTTCAAAGAGTGTTTTCATAACTGGAATTTCTCTTGAACAGGACAGTGTATAGTGAAGTGAATGTAGGCTCAGAATTCGAAGCAAAATCGTAAGAAATTCAGGGGAATTCGAAATGAAAATTCGAACGAAAAATTACCAAACGTCTTTGCATATACGAAAATTCAAGGTTAGGTGAATTCGTGAAAATCGTTTCGTTGTTTGAGAAATGGATCTCCGACAAATTATCCGAAGATTCGGAGATACTTTATTAAACTTCTCGCGAGTGGAGCGGTCATTCTGAACATCTGAATTCAAAACGGATGAATCGTACATGAGAAGAGGGATCTATATCTTTATGCCAGTTTGATCTCGATCTCGTCCGCGTTCCAGCGAAGTTTTATCTTAATTCACGAATCGCTTCACGACCAGCTGAATACCAAGTCGTCTCTCAACTTACTCGCTTTTTGAATCTGAATTGCTGCGGCTTATTTCATTCTCCTCGACGCAGAGCACTGGTAAAAAAACATACGCAAAAAAAATTGGAATAATTCCTTGACGAAAGGATTTTAATTTTAGCTTCGCAAAATGCAACTGCTATTTTTGCAGAAAAGAAGAACGTGAAAAATTGAAGGAATATTTTAATTCTAAATTTAGAGAATAACACTACTATTCCAGGAAATATTAAAAAAAAAAAAACAAAAACAGAAACGGGTAGATTAATAAAATCGTTAGTGAAAATCATTTTAGCTCCTATTTTGTTCACTTACAAAACAAGGTAGTTGTAAAACTTTATAATTTGAGTATTTCTTAAAACCACGAAATTGATAAAATTGTTACTAAAAATCATAATTGTTCCTCGATTAATCTTCCACTTCGTTCACTCTTCTTCGTTAACGCAAGAAACGTTGGAAAGTACGAGTAATCATCGTTAAATTTACGATTCGAGCATTTTTTAACAACGTTTTGCGTAATAAATGTGAAAAGAGAGTAGTGAAGCTGTAAACACGAACAAAATCATAATTATCCAGCGATTAAGCTTCTATTTTATTCACTGCTCTTCGCTAACACGCGTACAAAGGAAGAGAACCACAAGGATTCAGTTTCTGGCCGTCGTTGCAATGAAATTTTAATTACACTTCTTCCGAAAGCATTCCTCATCGTAAAACGCGCGTTAAAGTTTCTCCTTCTGTCTTTGAACGGAAAAGCCGCTTGTTTTCCCCTATATCACGCGCTCTTGACCGACATAGTTGGTGGCAATAAACGAGCGAAATCGTCGTTTTGCATAACGCCTACACGCGGCCCGTTTCCGCGATTATGCGCGCGTCTAACGTGCAAGAAAACAGCGGCACTCGTTCGTGTAGGCAAACGAGCTTTGTCTTGGCCACTTATTACATCATATGCAAAGTGCAATGTGGCCAACCACGCCTATTTAGGGTGAAACGAGATAATTTGCAGTTATTTGCAATTCGAGCTACTTTCTTTATGTAACAATTTCTGTTACGTCTTAAGAGAACAGATGAGAGCTTGTACGATTTTTTATGCAGTTTTATAGTAGAATGGTAGAGATTGAAATACCGAAGACTTTTTTATTTTTTGGCGTAGATAGTGAATTGACACTTTGGTAAGTAAATCGTCTCTCCCTCCAGAAAATTGAACGCAAAATTCGCGGAGTCGTTGGAATATTCAGAAAATAATTAATATTAATATTTTACAGGTGGAGCTTGAAATACCGAAGACTTTTTTATTTTTAGGCGTAGATAGTTAATTGATAATTTGGTAAGTAAATCGTCTCTGCCTCGAGAAAATTGAACGCAAAATTCGCGGAGTCGTTGGAATATTCAGAAAATAATTAATATTATATATTATTTTTTCAGTGGTGATAAGTTGGTGGAACAATTAGGACTCATCTATGCTCTAAGGAAATTACACATAAAATTCGTAAAATCATCGGAATATTAAAAGGAAAAAGGGAATAACAATATTTCATATTATATACTATTTTCGGAGACGTTTTTTCAGTTGTAACAAATTCGTAACAGAACTAAGATTCGCCTGTGCTCCAAGAAAAACACTCCTGAAAGTAATAGAAAAATAGTACCAACACGAAAAATTCCCCCTCTGGCAATTCCCACGACCCGCCACACTCTCTCACGTGTCAAACATCCTCTTTCGTTATTTTACACAAAGCTAAAAAATTCTATTTCCTTGGAAAGCAGGAAATCAACTGCCGCTGATCACTTTACTCATTCATCACAACCTCTCGCAACATCCAGAACCATTTTTAGAGAGTCTAATTTCTTCTCGTATTAGGAGCGCACCGGGTTGCGAGAAAATTCACGAAATATCTGGAGAATGTTTATTTCCCGAATCGTCAAGGAAATTGTTTGTTGTCGCGCCGAATTGCGCGAACAATTTCACACGTATAACCAAGGAAAACGAGAGATAAAGGGTCCTGCGTCATTAGCAAACATGCCTGACGATCGTATCGTGGTATACCGAAGGTGTACATGCCCCATTATCCGTGCATACTCGCGAGCTTTGTTCCTGAGCTCTCCTAAATATTACAACACTTGCCAACGTAACAGGCAACCACGCCTCTTTGCTCCTTTCCTTACCAAATTAACACGTTACTCCCTCCATTCATTTTCTCTAACTCTGTCTAACCCTTTCGCGCCTGCATCAGTTTTTTCTCCAGAATTCGTTGTTAATGTAACGATCATCGCGACTATAACGAATACTGAATTGAGATCAATTTTTATTCGAGCACTCAAATCATCAGAATATTGAAAAGAAAATTGATACAAATATTTTATTTTAATATACTTCTAATGTGACAGAATAATTGCGATGGTAGTAAAACGAAAGACTGAGTACATTTCCATGGGAACAGGCTACCGACATAATTATTATCAATAATACAATTATTAACAATCATTAACCCTTTGCACTCCCAAGTTTGCTGCATTTTCTTTCCAAAAATCCACATTATTTTAAGTATTTTATTCGAAACGTACTTCAAAGGATAGTTGGTTGTAAACAATTGCCTCACTATATGTATATGACCCTTTTTTTTTGTAACAATTGGACTTTTTTGTTACAAAAAAGGGTCATATACGTGTAACGTTGCTTATCTAAGTAAAAAAAAAATATTGCGAAATATAATGCATATTTAAATTGGCAATTTAAAAATGTGGAGTGTGATTCAACATAGGATTGATGCCGAGTCACACTCGACAAAGGAGTGCAAAGGGTTAATTATTACTGTAGGAAAGTATTTAAAAGCTGATTGATCGCCAAGTGTGCTGATGAATGAGTTATCCGAATTGACTATTGACTTTTGCAACAAAAGAACTCGGTAAATTATGTTAACCCTAGTGCGTTCTTCCGTTCGACTATACACTCAAGCTGGTTTGTGCCTTTTTTTACCCAAAGACCTCATGTGCAGCAATTTTTATTACCAGCACGCCATCGAACCTAGACGATAAACTTTCGATACAATATTAAGGAAACGTAAACTTGGCAACAGCAGAACTTATTAAAAAGATACAAAGGCGGTGGGTCACAAAAGACCCAACTATAGGATTAAACACGCCACAGCGACAAAACGTGCAAAATATTGGAAGTATTTCTAATTAAGATTCTTCATTCGTCTGTTACGTCGTATAATTGCAAAGGAAATTGGCTGACAATGAAAAATCTGAGATGATTAAAACTGGAAAATCAACTGGATGCAATACCACGAAAAAACCGACGCGACATTCGATCCTTCGTCACGCATAGCCAAGTGCCCGCGACTGACCGGAAGTGGCCGCAAGAGAACGAGCATCCTTTCGCTGTGGCACGTGGACGATCGGTCTGATCCTCGCCTCTCCTCTGTTCCTCTGAAGGGGGAAAACGAAGAGAGGAGCTTGCTTTGTCAGGTGGGGGCGGTGTGTTACGGGGGACACAAAAGTAGGAGGACGAGAAGCTTTTGCACGGGACGAAAGACGCGCCGTAGGTGGGAGATAGATATAAGGCCATCGTCTTGGAATAACGGCTATCAGTGAGTATCGCGCTGTTTTCGCATACACGGGACACACCAGCGACCACCATGCCGAAGTCTTCTTGCCCCAAATTGGAGATTTATCTTTTTACCCGGTTGTTCTCTTTACGCAAATTTTTAGTTTACTTCTGCTTCGCTTCTCTTCCTTTCAACGGAATTGTTACGTATACGTAGATTTAGTTAGGTTGGTTAGATAAACAAACGCGAATTGGTGCAGCTCCTTTTGCCCACTTTGGGACTTCAATTTTTGAGAAATTTCCACCGTATTTACTTCTCACTTTGATATAGGAGTTTATGTATATGAATATTTAGTTCAGTTGGATAATTTTGTCGGTAAACACATAGATGTGCGTTTATTTTGTCTAGTTTGGAGCTCTGTTTTTTTCAAGAAATTTCTACTCCATTTTTGCTTGTTTCTCTTTTTCATTGGAATTTATGTATATGTACATTTAGTTCGATTGGGTATAGTAAATGGACGAGTTCAGGGGAGTAATTGACTGAGAGGGAGTTTTGTGTGTAAGATACGTTCTTAGACACACTTCGGGGAAGTTTGATTAGCGAGGAGTTGATCTTTTGGATAGGCTGCTAATTCAGGTACGAGGAAGTTGTGGTTATAGTATTCTATTTGAGTATATTGATCGGTGGTACTTCGTTTTATTAGTGTTGGTAGGAATTAGACTTTTTTTTTTCTTTCGTTGACTTGGAATTACTGTGTAAACGATGAAAATTTAGTTAATCATACATTTGACGAGAGATATTTTAGTATTGACATTATATTCATTTCTGCATCGAAGTAGCAGAGTATGAAGTTTTCAATATCTTCAAAAAACTTCTAATTAAAACACATCTCATTCTTGTTCCTAACTCTGTCTTAACGATAGACAGAAAATTGCTCAGAAAAGATTGTTAACTGTAAAAGGCAGTTAGTTCCTGGCAAAAATAGTCCTTCAATATCAACTTACTTAAAGCATTATTCAAACCCCTAAAAAGAGTTACTAAACATCACCAATGCTGCATCTCTCCCAAATTATAAACATTTCTACTCCAAAAAGACACTCTATTCCAAACATAAAAAAAGGAAAAAGAAAATTCACCAAAATTCTTCAATCCGGAAAAATTCGACGCTCGCGAACGATTCAGCCGTTCAATCGCGTATTTCACGGAACGTCGACATCGAGAAGGATCCTGTTCCACGCGCCATCAAGAGGAACCCGGGCGTTCCATCGTCGTCCTTTTGTCTGTCAGACGATACGCGTTCGGTCGACGACGCGAAACCATCGGTGGAATCCACGCTTCCACACGGAAGTGGCAACCACTTCCGTGGATTCGTATTAGTTTACGGAGCAAGGTCGGCCGAGAAAGTGAAAAAGGACACTTTTCTCGGGGAGGGAAGCGCCCGTGAAGCGACACGAAAGATGAAACGCGAGAAACTTTCTCGCGACGCTCGATGACTTTCCAAGTTTCCCGTTCGTCGAACTTTCCACTGTATATCCGAAAAAACGTTTAACGACCCTGCTTCTCTGCCTTTTTTCACCTTTACTCTTGACACTTGTCAGTCGAGATAAATTGGATCGAACTGTTCTAAACGATAATTGTTCATGGTGCTCGCGCGAAGAGAGGACTTTGTCATGTGGTGTATCGTTAATCTTTTTGACACAGAGTTACTCCGAAAAATATTCGGACGTTATATCCACTTCAGACCTATTCTGTTTTAATACTTTCAATTTATAGTGCTCCATTAATTTCTGTGAAGAGATACAAGGGTGTTCTGTTTAAGAAAATCGAGGTGATCTTCCAAACTCAAAATACAAATTGTTCCAATGTACGTAAGTACTAGGGCTGCTACCAAAGTCTGAATATTCAGTGTATTCGAAAATTCGAATAATTCGGATAATTTCGAATATTCGAAGTGTTCAAAATTCGGATTCTGCCGAATGTTTCTCACATTTCAAATATTCGAATATTCAAATACCAGTAGAATTCGGACTTCAACTTCGAATAATAGAATATTGTATGAGTTGTATATCAAGTGGAATATTGGAATACTTGAAATATACCAAATATTCGACACAATTCGATATTCAAACTCTTGCAATATTCGAATTATCCGAATAAAGAATTCGATTTGGATTCGAATTGGATTTCGATGTGTGTCAGGTATCTTGGTTTATGATGGTTTATAAGTAATATGTCGGTTACATGGTTAAGTTAATGGTGGATTATAAGTTATCGATGCTATGCAGCGAAGAATTATAGTATTGGTGTGTTCCATATAATCGATGGAGCGGAGCCTGAACGCGCGATTCAAACTCGATGAAAACTTACTATATAGTTCACCTAATGACATAATTCACCCTCGTAACTTGCCGTGAAATGAGCCGATAACGATTTAAATGCATCATCCTTTGCACAACGCGCAGGAAACGGTGAATCGTTATTACGAAAGTTATGTTTGCAAAGTTTGTGCTAGCGCCACCTTATAATCCACTTAGTTTTACGAGACTTTTGATATGTAGGCCGTTCGTGAATAGAATTTTGACGAGAAGACAGGAAAAATATCATATATTCGACGGGATATTGACTTTTCTCTTTTAAAGGAAGATTGTTATCGATATTGAAAGTTGACCGAATTCGAAAATTCAAATTAGATGCGACGATTCGTATGCAAATCTGGTGGAAACTTTTCCAGGGTCATTTCTTTCGATAAAGAATTGCGATAGTAGTTGTACACGTTCTTCTGGATTGTACAGGAGACTATAGTAAACGCGATAATGTGATCGCGACGTAACTTACGAACCAAGAAAAGATATTTTTCTGCTTATTTTTAGCAAAACACTGAAAAACAGTCATTTTTCATCTTTAACAATTTGGAACTTGTGGCACACTTTTTATTTTTGCAAAATCTGGGGAACTGTGCGTAAGCACGAGTGTCTAAATTTAGCTGCAGTGACGTAACTTGCAAACTAAAAGAAGATATTTTTCCGGTTATTTTCAACAATTTTTTAAAACACTGAAAAATATTCGTTTGTACATTCTTAAGAATTTTTGAAGAAATGATTTGGAACTCCTGCCATTTTTATTCCTTTCAAATCCGGAGAATTCGGACAGATCGTTCGGCAAGGTGTGATCGAATCTTCGATTAATCTGCAATTTAATGGAAATTACAGTTTCAGATTCTGTGCCTTTTGTGCGTAACGATTACACTTAGCCACGCGGTGGTTTTAAGTGGTTACAATGGCGGCCACGGGATCTCGTACACGGATTACGAGGGTCTCGAAGGATACGCAGGAGTTGCTGGTGAATACGAAGGACACGCGGTATTACCAACAGTGGCAGTTCCGATTCACGCGGTATCCGCTGCGCCTGTTCATGTTGCAGCATCCCTGGATCATGTAGCTCATGGCTACGATCATCACGCTGATCACGATCACGATTACTACGTAAGCGATACAATTAAGGCATCCTTTCGATATTAATAACTAAGGAATCACTAAACTAAAAAGTTACTAACTCTATTTATATAAAAACAACTAGAAAGTTCCTGAATCTACATAAAAATAACTAAAAACTTCCAAATGCCTCTCTCTGAAATTTACCGACATTTCAACGAACGTTTAGAGTGGAAAGTTTAAGATTTTATGCAAAGGGAATGTTTTTTCATATGTGAAAAAATTCTTGGGCGTTGTGATTATTATTTTTCTCGTTTTGATTTCGCAAGCGAACGATTAATACTGGGATTGGTATGGAATTAATTCACCATTAGTAGATTATTCCAAGCACAGAGCTGCATATGAATGAATTAATTATCGATTATCGATTAATTAATGCACGAATGAAACGAAATGAGAATTATTTTGGCATCGATAAGCTGGTATTCGAATGGAACGGAATACTATGTAGATAATGCACAATTATATTATTATTCTTTGTACGAAAATGAAATCTTCGAAACAACGAGAAATCAATTTTCTCCACGTTTATGTCGGAGTTTATTAATCGAAGTTACATAAACTTGTTTCAAGGTGAAAATTGAATTCCTTATGGCACTATCGAATGGTACAAAGTGAAATTTCAAGATCTCCAAAGTCAAATCTCCCCCTGAAAACAATTTCTGTCATTTTCATCGAGGTAAAAATTCTCTAAAACAAATCTTGATTTCCATCGAAATAAAAGTCTTCTGAAAAAGACAGATCTTGATTTCCTTTAAGATAAAGTTTAAAATGCATAGAAAACACAGTAATTTTGAAACTTAAAAGTTAAAGTGAATTCTAATAGAAACAAATAAAAATTAGAATTTATTTTTGACAAGGAAGAAAGTGCGGGTATTTCGCCTAATTGGAACCAGTTACCATTGATGCTTTAAAAGAAATCGAAAGAAATTCGACGACGATCTTTAATTTCGAAATGTTCACCCTCTGAGACCTGAGCAAATTTTCTTTGATTTTCGTTTGAAAGTGAACATCTCAGCATTGAAGACGTTTATGCATTATATAAAGTGTACTTTCTAGCAGTGTATTTCATTTGTTTCGGTCAAAAGTTTGAGCGAGTGCCAGTGACCGTTCAGGTACCAAAAGGGTTAACTATGAAACGATTTGCATTTGGAAGCGCGTGTTGCATCCAGTCGTAAATAGTTTAAACCGCGAGGCGTGACTACCTCGCCTCTATGTTAATTGAAATTCCTGGCTGTGAAAAGTGGTGCTTGGCATAAGAACGCCTTCCGCGATGTATCTCATTGTCGCGGCTGTTTCCGCGACGCTTTCTCGCGACGACGACCACTCGTTAAGATCGTCTGAATGTCCCTCGACTACGTTCTACGTGCTCGCCGTGTGGAAAATCGGTTACGAAATTTTCTCCTGCTCGAAATATGCGGCCAACCACCTCGGAGAAATTTTACATAAACTGCTTTTTCTATTCGAGTTAATATTTTTTTAACTTTGACAGGTTTTTATGAATTGTTTATTGGAAAACTGGAGAAGATAGAAATTTTTGGATCGAATCTGTTTTAAAGAAAATCCAGCTTCTTTAAACGTTTAGTAAATTGTTTATTGTCGTATAGAATGTAATTTAAACTTTTGATTTAGCTGTATCTTCAGAAAATCTTACTAATTTATTTGCAAATATTTTTTCCAAC